CCCCCCCCCCCCCCCCCAGGAAAGTAGTATATATTATAATAAAAATATAATTTGCTAGCCTATTTTACATGCATTACACACTGGCAGTCAAATGTTTGAAATAAGTGTAATTTATTTTCTGAAAGAAGACTGAATTTGATCAAAAGTACAGTAAAATATCAATATTATGAAATATTACACTTAAAAAGTGGTTTTCTATTAAAAATATTTTATAATGTAGTTTATTTCTGAATAAAAACTGATTATTTAGCATCATTACTCCAGTCTTCAGTGTCACATTCCTTCAGAAATCATTCTAATATACTGATTTCCTGCTTAATTATTATCAGATATTATTTGTGATCGAATATTGCTATTGGTTCTTATTATTATCAGTGTGGAAACTGTTTTTGCTTAATATTTTTTGTGGAAACTGATGCTTTAACTTTTTCAGAATTTTGATAAATAAAAAGATGAAAAAACAGCATTTATTTGAAATATAAATGATCTGTAATAAGTATAAATATCTTTACTGTCACTTAATTTAACGCAACCTTGTTAAATAAAAGTATTAATGTATATAGGCTATGTTTTTAATCTTACCCATAAAAATGTGAAGCAGCACAACTGTTTTCAACATTGAAAATAATAAGACATGTTTCTTGAGCAGCAAATCAGCTTGTTAGAATGATTTCTGAAGGACCAATAGAAAGGCACCATAAAACCAGTCCACATTCTGCAATACATTCCAAGTCTTCTGTGTAAAAATTCTTCTAAATTATTTACTATTAGTCATATACACCAGGAAAGACAACTTATAATGTAAAGAAGTATACCACCAGTCATTCATTAATGTTAATGAAAAAATAATTTCAATAAAAAATAGATGGCATTTTTATGGCATTTTGATCGGGGTTAGAAAGTCCTGGGACACTTTTTAGCCCCAGTCCGCCCCTGCTTTCAGGTCTGATGCTGCATCATCACTAAATGGGACACAATAATGCATCAAGCAATAAAATATCATCTGGATAAATCCTTCCTAACCACCCATTGCAAGTGACATGACAAAGAAACATTATCTACAGTTTTCACAGTGAATAAAGTTCATCTTCATCTTCAAAACCAGCAGATTCAACTGTGAGATTCAGATCAACTCAAAGATGGAGTTCCTCCCCAAAAGAACAATGTCAAAAAGTTTTATAATTTTGTTTTCATAGCATGTTCAATTGTCTTATAATGCATATGTATCACTTGTAATTTGCTTACTTTTTCATGAAGGAGAATAGAAGCTTTTACAAACTGTTCTTGTTCAGGAAGCTGAAGAAGAGGCTAACACCTCTCAAGGCCTGAGATTTCATTTTAATTGGTTCGTCATTGTTGTTTTTAAAAGGACTGAGTTATTCTTCCACTTAAGATGCATTTAGGAAACGCTAATATATACTGTCATGTAGCTTTGTAATTGATCCTTCTGTGCTTCTCTTGTAAGTAGAAATGAACACATGAACGCTGTATTAATTGAGCCCTGGGGATAAATTAAGAAAGATCGTAGTATTGATATGCTCTAATAAACTGTCACCCAACCAGTCAACATTTTTTTTTTAGATCTGAAGTATTTCTGTACATTCTTACAACGCAAACATGCTGCATGTAAAATGTTATTTGTTTCATGTTGTGAATTTCCCTTGTGTCTTAAAAAAATTGTATCATATTAATTACAGTAGCAAACATCAGATGAACGGACTTAAAGACATGAAGCTTAATTTCCAAGATGATGCATGGTAAGCTTTGAATTTCAATACAGTATAGAGCAAAATAGTAACAGAGGCTTGTGTTGTAATATTTATTGTATATTCGAATCAATTTGTGATACTAATACCAGATATATGTTCATGTTTAATATTTCCTGCATAATTACGTAGAAATACATTGTGTTGGATCACTTACCTGTGTCGTCAGTGAACATCAGACACACCCACCTAAACGATTTCAATATATGGCTTATCCTGCCCGAAAAGACCATAAACATTGCAGATAAAACCTGAAGATTAATTTACACACATATCCTAAAAACGAATTATGTGTGACTGATACGCCTCAAATTAGGTGATTTTGGGTCAGTGTTTTGGCTGTCAGTCATCCTCTGCCGGATCGAACACTTCACTGCCTGATGACAGTTCAGAAAGAAATGAGCAATCATTATATAAATCAGTGGTTTACACCAAGCACTGTAACAGGATAGATGCAGATGCTACACTGTAACTAGTTAATTATTAGGAGTTTGTTGAACATTGGGGTGTTTTAATAAAGGCGGGATTATTTAGTTAACACATTTGTTCTTATGCTGCTTGAAATTCTCTTCACATCCTGATAGCAATTACTAAGTTAAGTGGTCTAAATGTACTTATATATATATATATATAT